GAAAGAGAGAGGGGGAGAGGAGAGAGAGAGAGAGAGAGAGAGAGAGAGAGAGAGAGAGAGAGATCCATAAATTGAATTAAATTTTTAGTAAAATATTTGCTATTTTGAAATAATTAACAATAATATTATTATTTATTCACATTCTCATTATTTATATTTCATTACAGTTATAATTATTTTTTAGATAAAAAGTGGAATATAATATTTTTTATTATTATTTCATTTTATTAATATTATTCTTTGATATTAACTCAGACAGCACATAATGTTTATGATAAATATTCATAAATATTTATTAGAGGAAGGTAGCTGATACTGACGTATCACTTTGTTTTTAGGCAATATTTCTTAAACAGAAAGTAAAAATAAAACTTTAAATACATAAATACAAATTAAAAAGTGTCTTCTATCAGATAATATAAGCAGTTTTTATAATACTGTTTGTAATTTTGCAATAATTAATTTTTTCGTAAAATAAGCAAAAATGAGCGTCTGAAATGAGCCCCTAAATGAGCTCCAAAATGAACACACTAGGCAATAATGCTACGTATTCCTATTCTTTTCTTTTTATAGGAATTATCTGTATAAAGAACCTAAAAGTGAATGTATATAAGATAGAATCCAGAATCTTTTCACTTCATTATAAAACATTTTTATTGAATTATATAGCTACTTTATACTGTTCTGTAAGATGCAAATATGTAACGTGATAGTTTTTCCATACCATATATGCATAATTGTCTTTAGCTCCAATACAGCTATTTGACACTATAAAGCAACATTATAAAAATTAAATTAGCTCATGATCTGTTTTACAGACAGGTTCACGCTGCACCCCAACTTTAAATTTAAAATCGTATTATAAAAAAACTAAAAAAAAAAAAATAATATAAATAAAACTGATTTAAGAAATTACAAGCAAAAAATTAAAAATGACGTAATATTATCAATAATGTAGCCACTATTATTTAAACTACTCATTTTGCAAAAGAAAATCGTAAGAATTTTATTTTTACATTCGTAGAATTTGTTTTTAGCTGATTTGTAATAGAAATAAGCCACAAATACACGAATTTTGAATTTGTACTTCTTTAATTAGCTAAACAGATTATAAATTTATTAGTATTAATAAAATGCAATAGCTAGTTTCTGAAAAATAAGGGTGTATCACTTTAGAAAACCTATATTAGTATCGGCGATTTTCTTCTATGTTTTTTAAGTATTAAATAAATATTTTATATAATGTTTATAATATTATTATATAATACAATATTATATAATATTTATGATTATTATTATATAATTATTATATAATACTTATATGATAAATATAAATATAAATATGTTTATAGTATATATTTTATAAATACATATTTCTAAAATGTTTGTTGCGAATATCATCTATTTCATACAGTGCAAACTAGCATCCGGTTATACCCATATTGCACATTGAATTAATATCTCAGAAACGTTGATTTACAATATTGCGAACATTGCAGTAACATCGCGAAATATAGGTTCAATGTTGAAGAGACGTTGCAGAAACGTCCAACGTTTGTTGAATTGTAATATCTGTGAGGCATAAAAAATGTTTCTTATATTAATTAATTCAATTTTATTATGAAAATAAGTATTATTGATTAACATTATATTTCAGAACACACACGACAAAATTATAATTGGAAAAAAAAACGCTTCTCTCTCATTTAGGAATTTCCTTATTTTCCTTATTTTTCTATCACTCATTCAATCTTATACATCATCCAACAATGCTTAACCTCTGCAATCGTATGGGAACTGCAACTTTGATGATCCACGAACACTGAATGTTGTGAATGTATAATTGTGACATATAAATATGTAGAAAAACCACGAATCGACATTGCGCATCAGACCGGTCAACACAAAGAATAGTTTATACGTGCAAACATTCTGCACGTGCGGCTAATTTTCGGCTAAACATATAATATATCATTTAGAAATGAATTTCGTTAAAAAATTAATTTAAGTGATTTAAATTTTCTATTTACATGATTATTTCGATTCTATTTCGATTTTATTTTTTTTCATTTTTTACGAAATAAAATAAGTTTGATATATAATTTATTCAATGTCGTTTTAACATTGCAGCAACATTAACAATTAATGTGGAAAAATCGATAAAAATTCAACTTGTGATTCAATTTATTTAATATTGTTTCAACGTTGCAGCAACATTAATAATCAATGTAGAAGAATCAATATTAATAAATACAACATTAATAAAACATTGACATTTCAACATTTAACATTGCCACATCTCAACAACATTTTTTCAACATTCTGTGCTGTAATACATATTGATAAAAAAGTGCTATTTTGCAACTGTTGCAAATTTTCTTCGCTGAAATGGGATTATTATAGATTTATTTATAAAAGAAATATATAATTATACGGTGTACCATCTTTTTGACAACGTCTATATTGACCAGAGATGTCATGGCTATCTATAACATATGCTACATTAATATTCAGTGTTCATGGATCATCTAAGTAGCAGTATGTTGGATGATTCTTGTATTTTATCAATATAATCAAGAAACGGTCTAAAACAATAGAGAACATGAATATTATAACCGACTTTAAATATGAAAACTATTAATCTTTACATATAATTTTTGTACTATTTAAGAAGTTCATCCATTGGCAAAAATATTATTCACATTGTTTTTCGTACTATTATATTATACACTATATTATACACTAATATTTTGATTTATTAAAACTTCGGAAACGCGGAAAGATGACTTTTTATTGCAATCAAAATTACGATAAAAGTTATTATAATTGTTTTGATTAAAATCATAGTTTTTAAGCTGAAAAATACAGTCTATGTGAACAAGTTTACAGAAGCTTTGAATTAAACATTTCAAATAATAGTATATACTCATCCGCAAAGAAACGGGCCGCTGTAAATACGTTATTGTGACCTGTTTTTGCGGTTGAACATATATGTATATACAATACAGAATGTTCGGCGAATTTTAACAAAGCGCTCGTGTGTAGATAGAACGGACTAAATTGAGTCGAAAAGTCCTCTACCATTTTGTAATTTTTGCAATAGTTAACAAGATAATTACTAAAAATTGCCGAATATTGATCTTCAATAATTTTTTTCTCAAATGCTACCTATCAACTTTACAGAAAAACTGCAAGAGACAAAAATTGTTTGTTTTCTTCTCATAGAACTCTAGAAAATTTTTTCAAAATTTTTTATCAATTTTTTAGTACTGTATTTTCTTATATTGGCAACTATCTTTACTAATATATAAAAATAATAAATTAAACAATTCTAAAAAAATTCTCAAAGCTTTATGAGAAGAAAATAAATAATTTTTGTCTATCACTGTTTTTCTGTAAAGTTGATAGTTTGAGTAAAAAATTATTGAAAACTAATTCAGCCATTTTTAGTAATTAATATCTTATTAATTACTGCAAAAATTGCAAAATGACAGAGAAATTTTCTCAGTTTAGCCCGTTCTATCTATACACGAGCGCTTTGTCAAACCGCAACCTACCGCGGACACTCTGTATATATAAAAAACTTCAAAAAATAACATGTTATTGAATAGAATTTTGTCGTAATTTCATTTTTTTATACAATTAAAAATCTGAAGCTTAAATTCTATTAGTTTTCATATATACTTACTCTTGTAATTTATTTCCCCGATCTCTCTCGCTAATCCATACATGAATGAAAAGCTTCACTGGTTGAATACTTCGAAATCCAATAGAGTC